ATTCAGATCGCGCTACCGGGCTCAATCCATCACCAACACAACACTTACAGTCTTCGCAGTCAACCTCCTCAGAACCAAGCCACGACCCAGGCCCTACTGCAAGTTCCGGACCATCATCGAATCCGAATATGGCTGCTAGTGCCGTTTCCGGTACTGTCGCTGACGAGACGGAATTAGCCGTAAGTCCACCCGATCAAACCTTGGTAACAACATCGTCTTTTGGGAACTCTGAGTACTTTTTATTTCATGACAGCTTCATTGTGATTATTTTTGAAGGGATTCACGCACATCAGTGCATAGTTTGTATAATTTCCCACTTGCACTGTTAGTTCGAATGCGAACAATTATTTTTGAAGGCGAGCTAGAAATTAATTTTCATACAATGACAGACAGCGGGATTTAAAACTTGTGAACTCACTCTAAATCGGGAAGGATGAATGAGTGCGTGGGTTGGGCGGATGAAGCCGNAAGCCGGGGCGATGGCCGATGTGAAGAGTTTGAGCTATTGCGATGAATGGAGCCACCCGACTTTGGTGGTATGCAGCTCGGCTGTCGTTCGGTTCAATACCACACCTAACCAATTGCGACCTTATGTGGTTCACCACTCCAAGTCCCAGGTCCTCGTGACTATTGGTCTGCTGTTCATCACACCTGAGATGCGTAATAAAAAATGGTGAGAGGGAAACTTTTTTTTGTTAAAATCCTTCCGACCCGGTGCCTTTGGAACGTGCATTCTTTAGTGTTTGTTGAGGTATTTGAAGTTGGAGAGTCAAACGACCTTGATGCTTACGAGCGATTGTGAGAAAGTTCCACTCATTGTAGGGATTAAATTAAACGTCGTTTGTTGTCCAATTTTCGGATATTTGTACTGATCATCGTGAGTATGAGTACGAGTTCAACTTCCTTTGCAATACGCAACTTCCTTTCATCTAATAGATGTATATGTACCCAATTCGCAAGAGGTTGTAGGCCTTTTTGGAATCTATTTCCAACGTAACTGGACGATACCGAGTGGTTCTTCAGTTCACTAGTCGTGAATATGTAGGCAACGGTAGTTTAAATAAACGATCACAGACGATCTACGGCTAGCGCTCTCTCAAGTCAATCAAGTCCAGTATTTGCTTTATGCACCCAGAAAGGTGGATATTCAGCAGTCACATAGTCAATCAACAATCATCGAACAAAATTATAACAGAATTGTCGTAAACAATAAAAAAAAAAACAATTTACGAGATTACTGAGTTAAGTTCCGAAGCGATGCGTTCTGGGCTGACAAGAAATCGAGCATCACAGATGACCGATAGACGGTCATACGATCAAATATATAATTATAACGGGATCGGGTGGAAGAGGAGGATACACATTTAATAAGATCTTGATGTAACGGATGTGAAGGGTTATCTATGATTTCTGCTAATAATGAGAAGGATGACTTTGTATGTTGGGAAATGATGGAGTGACAGATAGTTTCACGGGAAATCCCGCCACTTCTTAATAAATGTGTTAATGATCTGGAAAGCAATTTTAATTCCTTTTTGAGCATCCCTGGAAAGATTACTGGGGACCCGTGCAACTGTAGGGGTAAAACATAGACAAAAAGAAAACGTTTAATCAAGAAGCGAGGTACGGATAGTGTTTTCAGTTGTAAGACATCAAATAATAGTTTCCTGACCTTTCCAAATACAGAAGCAACTTGGTCAGACCAGCATACGTTTCGGTTTATTAACACACCAAGATACTTGACATTTGAGGGTTGGACAATAGTACCATCGTATATGTTGAACGTGGGACAGCATTCCAGGAGCTTGGTATAACGATTCCCTCTGTGAGGTAAAAACAGCATGTATACACATTTAGAGGGATTGAGTGTCAGGCTATACTCAGCGGATCACTCAGCAAGGTTAGTAAGGCCAAGTTGGAGGCTGGGGGTGACAGATGCATCACAGTGGGCGATTCCGACCGCAATATCGTCCGCATATTTAATGAGCAGGAAATTTCGTAAACTAGGCACGGATGAAATATAAGTCGAAATGAAAAACGGGGATAGAATGACACCCTGAAACACGCCTAATGCAGAAATTGAGGAAGAAGAACGATCAAAGTAACGTGTGAACTGTGATCGATTTATGAAATAGTTAGCGAGTACTGCAGTAATGGTTTGCGATATTCCGTTTGAAGACAAAATATTTAACAGCATAGACCTGTCAACACAATTGAAGGCGTCACTGTAATCCAAGAAACAAATTTTGACAGCTTTCTTGTTTCCACCAAGTGCTGACAGGATGTAGTGAATTGTACATGTGATACTTAGGTTCCCTTGAGCCACACCCCCCACTCACCCAGTGATGCTGCATTAAGCAGTCGTTATTATTTTCGCATTGGTTTTCTTAGATTTATTCGCCACGCTGACTTGTTTTCGAGCGGGAATTAAAATAAATTATATTCAATGACGGGCAAATGACTGAACTTAGGATGTCGGGGAACGATCAGAATGGGGAAATTTAATCGAATTCGAACACTCCCGGTGTCATGATAACCTAGTAGACTTTTCTTACAAAACTTCTGATTGCAACTCTGTTTGTAGGCATTCAATAAAATCCTCGGAAGCTTGTTCATCTGCGGGTCTTCTGTCTGCTTCTATTTACAGCTAGGGATCTTTTTACCATTCAGTTCTCGCTGCCCTTTCCGGGTACTATCTTTTGTCCGGCACATCGTTATAGTTTCGAACTCCTCTTTTATGGCGGAACTTTCATGTTGTTGTCTGTGGCGTAACACCACACCGTTCCGTTTAGAGACTGATGTTCGTCATCGCTAAGGTCGGTCAAAGTCTTCGCCCATCATCATACTCCGCTAATAATGTTTGCCTCTGTGTTATCCTCATTTCACTTTAACCTTTGGAATTTGATAGTCAGGGGAATTCTTATAACCCTTTTGTTTTTTCTTTCTGAATAAGACGATACTATTCTTGTGTAATAAGTGTCCAGGGTTTTCCGCTTCCTTTTTCTCTTATTGCAGTCTCAACTTGGCGATGGAGTTACCGAAGACGGCGGTGCTTCGCAAAAGGTTCCACCGCTCCGTATCAAATTTGCCTCAGGTGCATCCACCGAAACTGAACCAGGTTCTCAGACGACACCCACGGCAGCGGTCAACAGCAATTGCAATGAGGATAATGCATTATCACTGTCTGACGCGAGTAAGGGGACTGGTGAGACCACCGCGGAAACACGTGATGTACGAAAAGAAACCAACACTGCTAGTGGTCCCGCTGGGGATTCGGGTTGTGGCAATCTGTCGTTAGAACCGTCTTCCGGGGGCTGTGGTGTCGGTAACCACACTCACCATTCCGATTCTTCGGTCACTTCGAGAGAATCCATTGAAGGGAATAAGCATAAATCTGCAGACAATAGCCATACGGATTTACATCATCGAGTCGGATCTGAGCACACATCCATTGCATCAGTCGGGGCGGAGGCTGATGCGGATGAAACGCGTCATTCAGCGAATTCCGCACAGCTATGTGAAGATACTTCAACAATTGGTTCTAGCCATGCGAGACCTGATTCGGAGAATACTCATGAGACTGGAAGAGATGCTCCTTCAAAGGTGAGTTAGGTTTATTCCCTGAGTCTGAAACTCTTGTAGTTTTCGACCGATGTGAAGTTATCGCACGTTATCTGTGTTTAATTTGATTGAAATTCTTTTTTACATGGTAGCTCCATACTCGCTTTGCACATGCGCAAACGGTCGAAATCGCTTTTTTATGACATGCATCGGGCTTGAAGATCGAACCATCTTCCGGTTGAGTAGTCTACCGCGACCTAGTTGTCCAAATCTCCCGGTTAGGCTATGACTCCAGTGGATGACCCCTAATTATCTAAAACTCTGTATCGAACCCTAGCATTGTTTGTAAATTTAAATGGTTCACAATCGATATACTTTTATACTCCGAGTGCTGGTTGACTCCAATGGAATCGATGCGTTGCTCCGGCTGGCTGCCTGGTCTTGAACAAGTTATGAAGGTCTTTTACAAAATCAAACAATAGTGCGTATATTTTCACTGCAACCCGATTCTCAAGTTCCAGTTAGAGGAAAATAGATTCTATTGTGTAGTTCCATCCAAGAATTCCAAACTATCCGGTGTATTAATCCGATCGATAGGGGATTATTTGCAGAGGCCAAACCCTGTCACCTGTGACCCAATTAATATCCCGAAACCGGACAGTTTTCATGATCTAGAACTAACATTGGCTGCAATTGACCTTTACAAGAGTGTTGGTTTCTTTTTGTCGTATATATATATATATATATATATATATATATATATATATATATATATATATATATATATATATATA